TTGCAAACGACTGAATCATCGAGATCAATTTCTCAGATAATCAAATAAGATGAGTTACTGCAGTTGCCAACGAATCGAAGTTGTTTTCTAGTCTCCAACAGTCAATCTCATTCTGCTTTTGGATAATAAATAGTTTTGCTGCATCAACCTTTTTTCCACTATGTTTCTTTGATTTTATCCTTTTTGGGGTGGCATAGGATTCGTGGTGCCCTTCCACCCAGAAACGTTCATTGTGAGGCGATTTTCTCGAATAGTTGGTGATTGTTTCCGTTCCGTCTTCATTTGTTTGATGGTTTCGTTATGAAATGTTCTTTTCGTACTTAGTTTCTATCTGTCGTCTTTATTTGTACCCCTTGCTTATGCATTCTGAACGCAAAACTCAGGACACATCCAATACTTCTGTTTGTCTTATGTTCGTCCTGTATATGACCATGTGAATGCACTTCACTCTGCCATCTACCTGCTCATTTTCTCATTCTGGTTTGCACGTTCCTAGGCCGTGGAGGCACGTGAACAGACCCAAAGGGAACTGCGTCAGGCCTTGGCCAGACACAGTGATCATCTGTCACATATGCTACGCCTCAAACAGGAAGAAATGGAGCATCAGTTCACTTATCGTTTGCGGGAAGCGTTGGCTCAGGAGAAAACCGCGTTCGAAGCCGCTCTGTCCGGTTGGATTCAACGAATGAAAGCCATCGAGGATGTGGTCGATGGTAAGGTCAATTTTCGTGCTTAACAGAATTAATATAATAGCAAGTAACACCCCGTACCCATTCTCAAACAAAGTTTTCAACTGTTGAAGTTTATTTCTGTGGTTGCTGTCGTAACGATTCAAAGTGATTCGCGCACGAAGAGCGAGAAATTTCCGTTTTCCTGTAGTCTAGCCATTCATTAAATTTTCAATATGTTCAGTTTTCAGTTTGAACAACCATTAACCATGCACTTTCGTGCGCCGGTTTTGGTTGCTGTCTTTTGGGTGCCCATTTGCATGAAGAATAGGAGAAGAAAGGAGTTTGGTTGCTGTCTTTTGGCTGCCCATTTGGATGAAGAATAGGAAAAGAAAGGAAAGTTGGAAGTGGATTCGAAAAGAAAATGGAGAAGTTCAGTGGACTAAGGTTGCAAAGAAATTGAGATGCAAAAACGCCTGTTTACGACACCCAGCCATATCGCTCAGTGTCTCTAACCACCGGTTACGATCATCCCGAGGTCTCCAGCCAGGGAGCCTAACAGTACCTATGTGACCGTCTCCTGGTTAGGGTTTTCATACCCTCGTGCCAGGTCTTAACTTGACCACCCTTGGCTTTCTTCCTGTTGGGTTTTCATACCCTCGTGCCAGGTCTTAACTTGACCACCCTTGGCTTTTTTCCACTCTGTTCCCTCGTGCCATGTCTTAGCTTGACCACCCTTGGCTTTTTTCCACTCGGTATCTGCTTCGGCGAACATCGCTCGCCGTGGTAACCTATCTGATGACATGCGTAACACATGTCTCAGCCAACGTAATCTATGGAGGTCGACAACTTGCTCCAGTGGGCGGCCGTATTTACCCAAAACTCTGGCCCTAACCTCAGCATTGCTCATCCGGCTACCCCACCAGATTCGTGCAATGCTGCGTAGAC